AATCATTCGCCATCGTCCTATCAGACATTTCTCCTTACTCTGTGTATGTGGTAAGTGAACTTTCATGTACTGTAATGCAACAGGCTACCGCTAGCAAGCGGCTAACCTTTTAGTGGCTCAGTAGAAGCATTATTTGTTTCATGCTTCGGGCACACCCCCCGCCCCCCGATGTCATCGTCCATCACGATGTTTCACTGCAGACATCGTCCAATGCCAATTTGGTAGACATCGCCCAACCCTAGTTGGTAGTCAGAAGTCCAAGCCATCACCGTTGTGCCCTACAATCCTAACCCCAGATTACCACAAGGGAGATGTTTCTGTAATAAGTGTACTGCAAGTTGCTTTGGATAAAACTTACTTAATATAAAATATTTTATATAAAAACTGACTTTGACTTTAGTTATCAGAAATGATTAGATCTGTTTTTGTGGCTTGTAGCAATATTCGAATAAATGATCAACAAAATAATGTTCTTTTTAGCAGCATCATATCACCCCTTTAACAAAACTAATACTATACTAAAATATTAGTATTAATATTAGTAGTAGTAGTAGTAAAGACAATAAATATGTAAAGTTGTAAAAATTTGTTATGAATATTATTTTTAATAGTAACTGTTAATAACAAGTGCTCATAATAATAATAAAAGACAATAAACAAAGATCTTTTATTAATATTGTAAATAATTATTGTAAATAATGTGTTCATAATGATGAAAGCAATCATTTATTATATTATTATTATTGTTATTATTACCCATATGCATTAGCTTTATACAGACAACAAACAATTAACAATTTAGACAACAAAGTTATTAAGTTATTACAATTATTATTTTTGTAATAATTGTTGTAAATATTAAGTGTTAACAATAATGTTTATTATTATTATTGTTATTGTTGTTCTTATATTACCCACATACTTTAGATTTGTTTTATGCAGACAACAAACAATATACAAGATGTTAATAGAAAGTTAATACATTTTTAATTTTTGTAATAATTGTTATTATTAATTGTTGTACATATTAAGTGTTAATAATAATTATTATGATTATTTGCCAGATATATCAGATTTGAATAACTTCATGTTTTTTACAGTAAGATAATAGAACACAGTACAGTAAAATACACTAAATGTGTTATTCATGTTAATAACTGCTGTAAATTCGTGTTTATAATAATAATAAAAATAAATTATTATTAGCCATTTGAATTCACACGGAGTTCAACACACAAACACAGTGAAGAAACATTAAAGTTAGTGTTCCTCCATCACTGTCTCCAGCTCATCTGTGATTCAGGGCCAGCCTATGTCACACCATATTCCCGGATTTCTTTTGCACTTTCTTACAGATTCGCTACTATTACACAATTCAGCAGTCGAATGACTGTCAAAACAAATATATAAATGCTATTCTTCATCATACATGTCAAAAACACACACGCGTTCATATGTGTCTGTTTCACGTGTCTGTGGCAAAACACATCATTTCTAAAAAGCAATACCAGGCACAGAAAACACCTCTGTAGCGCAAACCATTAAAAATTAACATGTTAATGTTGATATTTCATACCTGTTCCAAGAATGACAACATCAAATTGAGATGGGAGAGTCTCCGCAGCCATCTTGAAACTACACACTGTCACGTGACACGCTATAGCGTGACGTACACTTTTTATTACCTAAAACATACAGATTTAAACACATAGTAGCCAAAATGTACACAACATCTTTTCAGAACTGGAATCCTCCATATTTGAAAAGAAAGAAGAAAAAAAGAAACCTTAAAAATTATTCAGGCTTTTTGTTGATATTTTCCACACGTCTCATATTCTTTGATTTCGCCTCCTGTGTATCGAAATTGGCTAAAACCCTTTCTGTTTTTTTAAAGGATATTAATTAGATATATGATGAAGACACAATTCATTAATATTATGCAGTTAAAGTATTTGATATTAATGTAACATTTACATGCAAGTATATTAAACATAAACATAGGCGCATATAGAAATGGCAAGTGTCAACGGTTTTAAATTTAATTGCACACAACATGACTTAATGTAATGTTCCAAAATGATTTTTTTCTCTGTATAACGTACACTACTTTGCAAAAGCCTTAGGCCAATATTTTAGATCTGCAAAGTTACAAAGCTCAAAGTTCACTTCAAAAGGAGATGTTTTATGTAACAGAAATCACTTTTCAAAAACTACAAGTAGGACCCCTTTAAGCCAGTTATTTCTATCTTTTGCTGTATGTGTCAGTAATATCCGTTTATCCACAAGGAGTCTGACAACAGCCAGTGTTCCACACAGAGATCTGATCTCACCATCATCCAGTCCATCTGGTATTACATAAAGAAACAGAAAAAAAAAAACTGAGACAAAATCCAGAATAACTGTGGCAACGTCTCAAAGATGCTTGAAGAAACCTTCCTGCAAAGCTACAGTCCTGTGAAACGTTTTAGGCACTTGTGTAAAAATGCTGCAAAGTGAGGATGCTTTCAAACATTATGTCATTAATACATTTTATTTATCAATTAACTTCTATTAACATTTGGTGTGACCACCCTTTGCATTTAAAACAGCTTTTGTCCTTGGTACACTTGCGCGTAGTTTTTCAGATAGCTTTCCAGGAAGGTTTCTTCAAGTGTCTTGGAGACATTGCCACAGTTCTTTTGGATTTAGTCTCGTTTTTTTCTGTGTCTTTATGTCCTTCCAGAAGGACTGGATGATGATGAGATCAGATCTCTGTGTGGAGCACTGGCTGCTGTCAGTCTCCTTGTGCATACAAATATCTCACTGGATTATTACAATTAATGGCAAAAGGAATGTTTGGAAATGTAAACCAATATTTCCCACTAACACAATAGGCCAGGGGTAGGCAAGTTCAGTCCTAGAGAGCCGCAGTCCTGCAGAGTTCAGCTCCAACCCTAATCAAACACACCTGAACAAGC